ACCCTTTTCATCATGTCAGAATGTTATTCCTCCCTTTCCAAGATTGTCCGACTCAAAAGGTGCGTTTAAAAAAAAATTTGCATATATTATTGAAAATCTTTGTTCTTTTCCATAGTAGAACATATACATTTACATGGATTATTTTCGAGTACTTTTATAATTTAATAGAAATAGAAATTGTGGATTAATTTTTAAACTCGAATACAGAGTAATTTGTTTTAATTTATAACTAATTATTATATAAACAAACTGAAGTATACTTCAATAAACAAAAAGTTCAGTAGAATGCCATGGTATTATTGTTATGCAATAAAAAAAATTCTGTAAGTCAAAAACAAGAAAAAGTCAAAAGATTTTTCCCTCCTTTCCTGAAATCCCCCTCTTTGGGGTAGGAAATCCGCCCCCGTCTACCTCTGGTTGAGAAACCCGTCCTTTCCTTTGTAGCTCTTGTTTTTTTCACTATCCCTCCCACTCCTTGTTCTGCCATCCATTTACACAGGCTCGTTAGGTAAATTACTCACTGTTTTCTTCAAGTTGTGTTAAATTCTCCAAACCGTCTTTCCTCATTATGTGCCCTTGAAATTTCATTTGATTCTCTCTATTTCTAATTTTAAGTGTCATTTTTGTTTCCATTTTCCTGTCATTTTTGTTTTCCACTTTCCTGCGTCAATTACATTCCCATGATCTTTCTGTAGAACTACTTTTCTGTTGGCTCAATTCTTCTCGCCATCTGTGAGGATATTGCCTAAAATTCACTGACATATAGAAGTACTGATATTACATAACAGTTCAGCACTGTATTCTTTGTTTCTAACGAAATTTTCCTGTTTCTTAATACTTTACTTAGCTTTTTTAGCTATTCCAATGCTCATTCGGATTTCAAGATCAAGTTTTGGTCCTTTGTTAAAATACTTTCAAGATATATAAATTTCAATGTATTATCGATAAATATTGTGTAAAAATCGTTTTCGAGTTAGAACAAAAGGATATTTAAAGAGAAATTTATTACTAAACTTAACGTATTCCAGTCTAAACAAAAGACATTTAAATAGACATAAAAAGGGTTTTTAATTTTACACTAAATATGGTAAAAAATATTACATAAAATAAAATAATTATTTTTGAAGTTTGAATCTATGTCCTTAAATTAAGTGACGCCATTGTATATTATATTATATTATATCTGATAAAAGATCACGGAGAAGGAATTTCGTTTCTAATTTCTTATCAAAATTTTTCTATTTTCGTAAAAGTGAATGTATGTCAGAGATTAGTGTAATTCTTATATACAATTATTTACCCATCTCCCCACGAGAGGAGTATGTGACAGGAACTCGTTTGTGGGTTTCCAAACGCGTACATATGGCCTAAGGACAAAAACTGATTGGTCAGTCCCCGCGCTCACTGACACACTTTCATCAACCATCATTTATTGAAATGAAGGAGGGTCTGCTGCAGGATTGGAATCTTCATAAGCTTAAGAGGAGAACAGATACTACATCTTGATCCCAGCCCGATGGATGGAGGTAGAAATGCTTAAGGGTATTTATAAACATCGTACTAGAGTAGGGTGCGACACAATGTCTTTTTAAACGAGGAGTTGCCATTTGCCAATCCCAAAACTGCCCGTCTCCACGACCAGAGTTACTATGGCGCCGGTATTTTACCAATCCTCCCTCTTTAGTAAAAAGATTGGTGATTCTGGCAGTGAAGTCGTTAACATCCGCTGGATTTTAAATTTATACCGGCTTAAAAACAAACACAAAAAAATTCAAGAACAAATAGTAACGAAGGCTAAAGGAGTAGCCGAAACGTTTCTAATTTCCAGAAACTTTATGGTTTCCCACAGCTCAACTAAATAAAAAGCGCAAAATATACAAGAAATATCTTTTTCTATATATATATATATATATATATATATATATATATATATATATATATATATATATAAGTTGGACACGTGACCGAGTGGCTAGAGCGTTCGTATTCTGACTATGGGTTCGCATCTCATCATGACCGATTTGTCAGGAAGGCGACTTGGGAGCCGTCGATAGCTGTGCTAGCACAAACTTAGAAGTCATCGTGGCTGAGGGCTTGAGTGTGCTGGTCTTGCTCAAATTGTTGACCACGCTAGGTAACACGCTCTTTCCCAGAAACTGTAACTAAGGTCCGCTAAGCATAGTTGCAGTATAAACCACGGATGGGCTCTGTGGGTGTTGAATAAACACAAATGCGCCTGAGCACACGTCTGCTATAGAGATTGGCTAGCCGCCCAAGTAGACGAGTATCGAGTATCCTCGAATACGAATGGCCAGCTATATATATATATATATATATATATATATATAAAGAACAAAAAGCGACATACGAAAACTTTTCCACTGTGTCAGTGGAAATATTTTTCCTTAATATATAATATTAGGTAATTTCTTTTCAGTTGCTGTCGTTATTTGATAAGTACTTAGTTGGTAGATATAATTATGCAGATGATCATGTAAACAGGCTAAACAACATTGAACTTATATTGACTTTATTTATTAACCAGAAACAATAAAAAAGGATCATTACCCTTTCTTGATGTCAAGTTAATCTCCAATGATACCTGTCTAAAACTAAATGTCTACAAAAATCCATTAATCAAAACGATCTAATAAATTTCAACTCACACTCCATTAGTAAAATAGAATCTGGAATAATTATAGGTCTCTACTTAAGATGGTATAGTTTTCAGACACACGTTGAGGTCGCCTACTTCAGACCGATAACTAATAATACACTTGGGAAAGGTGTGAATCCTCTTCTTCTCCCTCCAGCTATGGGTAAATAGCAGGACAGACTGGGTTCTATAGCCTTGGATGGCAACTGGTCTAGGAGAAGGACAACTCTGAATTCAAAACCTGCGGAGGATCGTTTGGGAACCCTGTGGCACGTAGTGCACCAAGTCTCTGTATTCGGCCCTTCAAAAAGTGTGGATGTTTCTGCACAAAACCTTCATCACTATAATCAAATTTCATGTGCTGGTGTCGGGCTGTCAGTTTCCTAGGAACTCATCTGCTTGACCCTCATACGTCGGATTCGGCAGGAGAGTCGAGTATATATATATATATATATATATATATATACTCGTTGATAATACAAATATAATAGTCTATCCACAAGTACAAAAAAGTCTAAAAATAATGGAAGCATTATTCATAAAAAGAAAAAATAATCAATAATATCGACTATCAACACGGCCACAATGGACTGGCCGTGTTGGGAAATTAAAACATTCCTATAACTCTAGATACATACATAAAATAATCCATATTTTCAGTTAAAAGTAATAATGATATTTCTTACTTGATAATGACTAAAAGTGTAGAGGAACGCGTTCGGACATACAAAACATTTGGACAATTTCTATGTAATTTAAGGCCAGAAAAGAAGAAAATTATAAGACCACATGAAAAATTAAATAAAAACTTAACCGTAGTACCTTGTCAGTCGTTTATAATGAAATGTGTATAAAAGAGGGATTGCAACCCAAATATACAATTATATATATATATATATATATATATATATGGATACAGTATTATTTATATATATGCATATACAATATTACTTATATATATACAATACTATCAGTAGAGCCCGGCGTTGCCCGGGGATGTAACAGTAAGAGATAGATCAAGTATCGACCATCATAAAGACTGAAAAATAAAATTGACAAAGATTATTGTTTAAGGTTGATGGACACGCATGTCTTAATTATTTTTATTTTATTTTTTTTTACGAATTTGTCAAACCCAAACTCAAACAAAAACATTGTTTTCAATCGTTATGAGTCTACCGATTAAATAGGATTTTATTATAAAAATTGTCTTGTAAATGGAATTTTTAAAGCATTCTGAATGTAAAAATAAAGAAAAAAAGTGTGCAAGACAATAAGAAACACTACCTGCCAAAAAGTGAAGTTTTGTTGAAATCGGTTTTATTCTCGAAACAGCGATGCCTCTTAACCGTGTTTTCAAATTGATTTCGTGCAAAAACAATTGTGTTTTTCCAATTTTTGGCGCTGTCAGAACCACCGCAAGGTAATTTTACGTAGTCGTGTGAAGTTTTGTTGAAATCGGTTGAAAAATGTAGGAAATTCGATCTAATATATAAACGAACAGACACACACACACACAACCTGGGTTTTATAATAAGTATGATTACTTATATATATATACACAATATTATTTATATACATACATATATACACACAATATTATATATATATATATATGTATTACTAAGTGACTAGTATAGCAACTCTAGGAAAAATGAGGTTAAAACGTTTCCTGGAGTCAGCAAATAAAGCTGGAAGAACAAACCAAAGACATTTCTCTTCTTGTATGCATCATTTTGAAAGGGAAAACAGCTGAAAAATGGTGACAACTTCAAAAAATGATAATTTCATTGTACATGGCATGCTTCAAGGAGTTAAAAATATTAAATTTAGAAAAAAATTGGTTTTATTTCCCTTTCCACTTTATTTTTATGATATAAAAAAGATAAAATTTAATTTTTGTAGTTTTTGCATATAATTAAAGCGAAAATAAAAATAAAAAACTGCCGTTTAAAAAAAAAAACAATAATTTTATCGGTTTCTTTTTTCTTTTTTTCACTTGTTTCACGCATGTGTACGTGTAACCATTTCATGCTCTTGAAATGTTATTAAATCTGCGACTACAAAGAAAGATAACTGTTATTTTGTTTGTTTGTTTGTTTGTTTGTTATTGTTTATTTTGTTTTTGTTTTCTTTTATCATCGCAAAGCATTCTATGCCTTCATGCTGATTAAAAATATAATTCATAGATATTGTCGTTAGTCATTGATTTTTATCTATTTCAGATCAACATGGAAGTAATTCCGACTTGGACACTTCAAGTGAACACAGTCAGGAAACATTTCCCGCCGTTTCATCGCTGAAGGTAGACCCGGTGGCGGGTGGAATTAACGACAGAGTAAAAATGAACACTAGTAAAATTCCTACACCCAACGACTTTCTTACAATGCCAACAGCGTTTAGACCGGGACGGCTAAATAATTTGGAAATCCTGGAAAGAGTTTTCCCGTTGCAACGAAAGTCTGTATTAGAACTTGTTCTACAGGGCTGTAATGGCGACTTGGTTAAAGCTATTGAACACTTCTTGTCTGCCCAAGACACACTTATTGCACAGCACCATTATCATTTGAACAGCAGTACGCAAAATCACGATATTACCCATTCGCAGCATTCGTCTCACCCCTATTTGAACAATACCTCGTTTCGGCCCGTAAACAGACACAAACTTACGTTCGGCGGACTGAAGTCCGCCTTCACGCCACTGTCGCCTCTCGCTGCTTTCAACGGGCTGCACTCGGCGTTTCGGCCACACGTCTCCACGTTCCCACCAAATATCTTTCGCGGTCAGTTTCTGTCACATCATCACCACCACCAACAGCAGCAGCAGCAGCAGCAGCAAATCCATTCAGCAGGTGACATTCTGACATCACCGTCTCAGATTGCCTACCAGAATTTAAGCACCATTCCAACTTCTTCTCTCTCGGGAATCGTGGCCTCGCCTTTCTCCTTGCATTCATACCGGACGCTCACAATAGAAAACACAGCCATTTCAAAGATGGCCGACAAAAACAGTAATAAACAGAATTTAACAGAATCTGATCGTATATCGAATAAGTGGGAAAATAACTCGCAATTAACTAACAACGCTGGCAACAGCGTCAAAGATGGAGACTAACAGTGATTCCCAAATCGCTGAGCTGTTTCGTGTAAAATACGTATAAATATCTAACTGTATTTTTTCTTCCTTTTAAGAGTTTTATTATTCAGTGTTGTCGTTGTCTTACCGGATCTTATTCTAAAAAGATGATTATGCATTCTGTTTAAAAGTCTAAAGGATATTTGATGTGTTCTAGGTGTGAAAATATCAGTTGCATATAAATATTTGCATGTGTTTTTTTTTTGTTTTGTTATTTTGAAGGAAAAAAATAAATGTACTTTATGACATCGATCAATTTTTATGGTAATTTAACGAAACACATATGAAAGTTTATTTACACTATTTTTTTTATCTCTACTTATACTATATTTATTTAGACAACCATCTGACCTATTTGAATTTTCGTGAAACGAAAGTTTCTAAATTAGTGTATTTGCTGAATGGTTTCTACCTACAAATACAAACTTAACTTTCTATTACTATTTTCTTTCTTTACACATACATGCATATATACATGCATACATACATACATACGTACATACATACATGCACACACACACACATATATATATATGTACGAAATATATATATATATATATATATACGAAATATATATATATATATATATATATGTATATATTTCGTTATGTTTAAATTGTTTCGATATTCTGTGATAAAGTATTTCTGTTAGTCATTCTCTAACTTTCTTTAAACCATTTCCGTTTTTTTTTTTTTTTTTATCGATCTACTCCTCAACCGTTAAAGATAACAGCGGCCGATCAGAATACCTGGCCGGGTATCCCCATATCCTGTGAACTCATTTTGCATGAATGACGCTTTAGCCAATTCGACCATGGAATCCACATTTTTTTTTTATTTATGTTTTTTTTTTCATTTGTTATTCTACTACTATTTCTTTCGATTTTTACATCATATTATTTGCTTACAGTCACAATTTGTTTGGAAAATTCTAAAATGAAGCCAAGGGATGCGAGTTCGAAGGAAGAGTTTTCTTTATTTTGATTTCATACTGGTTACTTCAACAGATGAAAAGTAGATCGACCTAGAACATTACGATAAATAACACCGCAATATTAAGAAAATTAGTCACGGTTGTATGAGCAAAGAACGTGTCAATGTTACACGTGGTTGAATGAGGGCAGAATACGTAATTTGGTCATAATATTTTAGTGTATATCAGGGTTACGAATCCTGAAATTGGATAAAAATTATCCACGGTGGCGTAGAAATCAGAAAATATGAGACTTCTTTCTTTCTTTTTCTTCGACCATTTCATCCTAAGCAAGACGATAAAGCCACTAAGACGCAAAAGGGGGTCGTTACTGAGAGAAAACATTATTGATGAGAACGGAGAATAAAAGAACAGGATTCCAAAACACAGAATATGACGATTGACATGGCATTTAAATGTTTGAAAAGTGTAGTTGACAGGAAAATAAGAAACCGAAAGAGAATTTTACAGACGAAAAATACAAGAGAAGAAACTATTAGAATAGAACTTACAGCTATATCTAGCAATTTCAGCAGTTAAATAATGAGACCTATCTGCTAATCTAGTACTGCGCTTCAATTCCTGAAGTTGAGGTATCAAAGATGAACGCTCACCTGAACCATCGTCATGAAACCAAGATAGAGATTTCGCTCAGATCCTGTTGTCCGACATTTCTGGCAGTCGAAAGTGTTCAAATAATTTGAAATAAGAAAGCCTCATCCTGGGTTCGAACTCAGTTCGAATTCTCTCTCCAGACATTTCGCATAAAGCGAAAACTCACAACCAACACGAGAGAACTTCGACTTGTTTCGATATTCCTACCAAGAAGACGAAGATTATTGCCTATTCATCAAACGCTTATCGTAAAATAAAGACCATTCACTATTTTGTTTTACATTATTGATTGTAGTTAATCTGGAACATCCACAAATTCATTTTCTTTATTATTTATTTGCTGTCATTACTTCTTGGGAACGATAACGAAATCCTTTCCCCTTGTCTTCTCTGCAGTTTTGCATTAAAGTTAAACAATTTCTTAGACAAAAGTTAAAGAGCTCAATCTACTCTGCTACTTAACCAATAGCTGGGTTGAGAAAAAAACTGCTCGTAGCTTAGCGGTTATACACATAGAATGGTATGAATCCATCTCTTCTCACATAGCACCCCCAGCTAGGGGTTAATAGCAAGCATTAGAAATTAGATGCTACAGAACAATCCTAGGTATCTTCTACGGAGACCGCATCGCAAATGACGCAGTGCTATACTCCATCGGACAAGAGACAGGCTCGTCGGAACACCTCATATCGACCGTCACGAAGAGAAAGTTAAAAAGGTATGATAATGTCATAAGGGACAACGATATTTCCACTGCAATCTTATAAGGTACGACCTTAGTCAAAAGAAGAAATGGCGGACAGGATAAAAATGTGCTGACATCATTGAGTGAACTGGAATATCATTCACAGAGACTCAGACACTGACTTAAAATCCAGATTTGAGAGACCTGATCAAGTGTCCATCTGCGCATAGGCACTACATCCACATCCGGTCATGAGACTAATGCCGATGATGTTGATGATGATGATGATGACGATGAAATATCTATCTGTAATACTAAAACACTAATTTTGTATGTAGGAACATATTTTAAATCATTTCACCCCAAGCTAGGCAATAAAGCCACTAAGACGCAAGGGGTTATTTGGTGCTAGAAAATATGAGAAAATTATACTAAGGAGAGAAGAAGGGCAAAAATGAAGAAGGTAGAAGATAACGATTGACATTACATTTAAATTTTTGAAGATCAAAGACCGGAAAGCAAGAAGCCGGAAGAGAGTTCCACAAGCGAGAAGTGCGAAAGAATAAACTGTTAACATAGAACTTACTGTTCCGACTAGCCACTTCAGCTATAAGTACATCCGTAAGTTCTAAGCTAATACACCTGAATTTATAAAATATTATTCTGAATATTAACCGAAAGAGGTCAGATACCTTGAACACCTGCCGTATCTAAATAATGAACTGCTTTTAAAAGAACCCCAACGTGTCTATGGGTGGTCTAGTGTTTTCTAAAAACCCTGTATTTTATAGACCTCGCAATCAAAAAGGTAAAAATTTGGCATTTTTGAAAGATCTTATTTGGTAAAGCTGATTCAAATAAATAAGGTTTTTAGAAACCAAACAAGTTTTTAATTTAACCCACAACCAATGAAATTAGTTGAAATTTAAATACAAAGCACATCTTAAATAAATCCCTTTCATCTTCTCCATTATAGCGAAAGGAATTTTTTTTTAATAAAATTAAAATTATCGACCATAATGCATAAATAATTAAATATTCGGAAATAAAATTTAAGAAAGTATTTCCTTTATTATGAGCAAATTAAAGGATAATTGGTGTTTTATATAAAACTTTTATATTAAGTAACGTTAAAAGTGTTTAAAAACTGAGAAACATGTTTTTTTTAAACATGTTAGTTATATTAAAAACTAGATTAAAAGCCGCCCTATCGGGCGGCATTTAAGCTAATTTCCGCGGAGGTTGCTTGATTGGGCCTTTATCACAATAGGTAGGGTGGATTAGATACGATATGCAACAATAAACTACAGAAGAACTCAAAATTGATCGCTGCATTTAAGCATTGCATTAATATTTAAGCTTACATTTTACAAGTTCGACCACAATTTTTCTGCCGCCACTTAATTTAAAGACAATTTGATGTACGTAGGTCCTTACTTTCCGTTCAAACAGTTATTTTTATTTCATGGCTGACTTTCGCTGGATTTCGCAACTAATTTCGATTATTCCCAAATATATTTCCACATTATAAAAATTGTTGTCGTACAAAAAAATTCGTCGCAAAAATCATGTAAAAATCGTCGAAAACAATCACAGTAATGAAAACTTAGGAACCCACATTTCTGGATCGCGGGTCTGGATCTGGCCCGGAATGTTTTTAATTTGCTCACGGAATCGGCTTGATTCCAAAATGGTATGATATGTTGAGCTACGGCCTCTAGGAGTAAAGTTGAAAAAGTGTGACACGGTGACACACTGGCATTCGCATTTATTATATAGCAGAGTTGATTCTCTGTCCATCACACACTGTCTGCCTTTGACTTTGCACGCGTGTATGCAATATATGCGCGCGGTCGCTTGGGGATACCAGGTGATGTAAACTTGGATGTGCGAGTGGTGTCATGGAATTGCTCATCAGAGTGCCGAGTTCTAATTTCTGTTTGGGTTCGTTATATTGACTACCCTCACAAATACCCTGGGGAATGTTATAGATCCATATCTCCCCCCCCCGCTATAGGTTAATTAATAAGACTTGTACCACTAAATCATTATTATCTTCGAAAAAAAATATATGCTTAGAATTTTAAAATACTTTCTGCTTTTAAATAACCTGCAAAGGGTTAATAAGCTGTAGGAAACGAATCAATCAACCAATGTGCTTCGCGTGAATGATTTACATGTGCTTGTCCCATTTAATGTACACACGCAAGCGCACACATACAAAAAGTTTGACTAAGTTTGAAATAAAGCACTGGAATAATACATTCACCTTCTCCCTCAGTCTGGACAACACTTACCCTGAACAATAAAAGCATAAAGTTGGAGATTAAAAGTTACTTTTTTTAAACCCTAAAAATAATCAAGTAATTTTATGACATGATTGAAAATTTAAAAGTCCATTTGGTAATTGATAAAATTATGTTTTAAAGATTTTTTTTCTTATAAGTTTGTAAAAATATATTTAGGTTTGTCATTGAATTAAAATAAAAATTCGCATACGCAAATGTACATAAATACGCAATTTGAATGAAATTGAAATGTGCATCTGTGTTTGAAACTTGATCACCTTGCCGTCAGCGAAGTGACAGGTAACAAGCTAGTTATTATAAAATAAAGGCACTGTGAGACAAAAAGAAGGTCTGTTAAAGTCATTTGTGGGTAGTCGGTTATAAATGCAGAAAGTGAAATCGGCTAACTGTTACGTCC